CACCCACCCCATCACTACTCCACCCACCACCATCACTACTCCACCCACCACCATCACTACTCCACCCACACATCACTACTCCACCACCACTCATCACTACTCCACCCACACTATCACTACTCCACCCACACATCACTATCCACATATCACTACTCCACCCACACCATCACTACTCCACCACCTAATCACTACTCCACCACCACCATCACTACTCCACCCACCTACTCACTACTCCACCACCACCATCACTACTCCACCCACCACCATCACTACTCCACCCACCACCATCACTACTCCACCCACCACCATCACTACTCCACCACACTACTATCACTACTCCACCCACCACATCACTACTCACCCACCACCATCACTACTCCACCACACATCACTACTCCACCACTACTATCACTACTCCACCACCACCATCACTACTCCACCCACACATCACTACTCACTCCACCATCACTACTCCATCCACTACTATCACTACTCACCACACCATACACATACTCCACATTCACTACTATCCACTCATCTCACCCACCCCATACTACCACTCTAACCACCATCACTACTACACCACCACCATCACTACTCCACCACCACCATGGCTACTCTGCACTACTATCAGTACTACACACCACTTAATGTTTCTGGAAACACATGTTGAAATGGAGAGTTGCTTTTACACCAATTATATGAGACACCAAACAGGAGGATGCCTCACTACAATCTGGATTAGTGTAGGAGCATTACTTCCAGTTACGTCTGGAAGACAGTAAGATGACAAGTTCTACATTCTCTGTACGATTGGATTTGACTAGATAACACCAATATGGCCATACTGAAGCTTCGCTCTAACTAGATTTTGGCTTGCAACTCAAAGCAAAAAATGACCGAGCATGCTCGTAACTCAGAAAAATCATAAGTGCACATCGTAAGTTAAGTCACTGTATAAAGCAAGTTAAGTGACCTACTATCGAATAAGAGATGTAGTTGTCTAGTGCAGAGTTAGTAATCAATCATACTGAAGTTTTTCTGAATTATATAACATCTGAGTGATTCTGCGGTTGAGCCATGACACAAAACCATAGGTGATAAGGGTAAATGCAGAGGAGTAAGAACAAGAAAGCTGATTAGGGTCAAGACCTTATCTTGAAAATCCTACTGTTTTGGACTTCATTAGTAACGCATGTTGTCGAAATTTGACACTGCAGTCTGGAGATTTGGAATTGCCCCTGGAGTCTAGAATGGGAACATTTATCATTATGTTCAGCTGTACATTTGAAGCTCTGTTTCAAATAGATGACGTGGATTTGTCTAACTGAGAGTAAAGATTTGTTGGCGCCATCAAGTAGATATTGTTAGTAGGATGGCATTACATGTTGTTAGTATGATTGATTTGGGTGAGAAAAGACATAAAATGGGTTTAAGGAGTTAGATTCGTTAGTAGGTCCTGATGTAAATGTGAAGAGAAGTGGCCCAGCACACTCCTCTGTGGGACTCCAATAAGAACAGTTATGGAAAAAGTCACTCCGTCTGACTTTTTTGGGTTATCCTAGTATTGGGCCCCTACTTAAACAAGATGGGTCCTACACAGATGACAGCAAGGAAATGAGTGAGCTACTCAAGTCCCAATATGACTCAGTTTTTAGCAAGCCGCTAACCAGACTGAGAGTCGAAGATCAAAATGAATTTTTTATGAGAGAGCCACAAAATTTGATTAACACAAGCCTATCCGATGTTATCCTGACGCCAAATGACTTCGAACAGGCGATAAATGACATGCCCATGCACTCTGCCCCAGGGCCAGACTCATGGAACTCTGTGTTCATCAAGAACTGCAAGAAGCCCCTATCACGAGCCTTTTCCATCCTATGGAGAGGGAGCATGGACACGGGGGTCGTCCCACAGTTACTAAAAACAACAGACATAGCCCCACTCCACAAAGGGGGCAGTAAAGCAACAGCAAAGAACTACAGACCAATAGCACTAACATCCCATATCATAAAAATCTTTGAAAGGGTCCTAAGAAGCAAGATCACCACCCATCTAGAAACCCATCAGTTACACAACCCAGGGCAACATGGGTTTAGAACAGGTCGCTCCTGTCTGTCTCAACTATTGGACCACTACGACAAGGTCCTAAATGCACTAGAAGACAAAAAGAATGCAGATGTAATATATACAGACTTTGCAAAAGCCTTCGACAAGTGTGACCATGGCGTAATAGCGCACAAAATGCGTGCTAAAGGAATAACAGGAAAAGTCGGTCGATGGATCTATAATTTCCTCACTAACAGAACACAGAGAGTAGTCGTCAACAGAGTAAAGTCCGAGGCAGCTACGGTGAAAAGCTCTGTTCCACAAGGCACAGTACTCGCTCCCATCTTGTTCCTCATCCTTATATCCGACATAGACAAGGATGTCAGCCACAGCACCGCGTCTTCCTTTGCAGATGACACCCGAATCTGCATGACAGTGTCTTCCATTGCAGACACTGCAAAGCTCCAGGCAGACATCAACCAAATCTTTCAGTGGGCTGCAGAAAACAATATGAAGTTCAACGATGAGAAATTTCAATTACTCAGATATGGTAAACATGAGGAAATTAAATCTTCATCAGAGTACAAAACAAATTCTGGCCACAAAATAGAGCGAAACACCAACGTCAAAGACCTGGGAGTGATCATGTCGGAGGATCTCACCTTCAAGGACCATAACATTGTATCAATCGCATCTGCTAGAAAAAATGACAGGATGGATAATGAGAACCTTCAAAACTAGGGAGGCCAAGCCCATGATGACACTCTTCAGGTCACTTGTTCTATCTAGGCTGGAATATTGCTGCACACTAACAGCACCTTTCAAGGCAGGTGAAATTGCCGACCTAGAAAATGTACAGAGAACTTTCATGGCGCGCATAACGGAGATAAAACACCTCAATTACTGGGAGCGCTTGAGGTTCCTAAACCTGTATTCCCTGGAACGCAGGAGGGAGAGATACATGATTATATACACCTGGAAAATCCTAGAGGGACTAGTACCGAACTTGCACACGAAAATCACTCATTACGAAAGCAAAAGACTTGGCAGACGATGCACCATCCCCCCAATGAAAAGCAGGGGTGTCACTAGCACGTTAAGAGACCATACAATAAGTGTCAGGGGCCCGAGACTGTTCAACTGCCTCCCAGCACACATAAGGGGGATTACCAACAGACCCCTGGCAGTCTTCAAGCTGGCACTGGACAAGCACCTAAAGTCAGTTCCGGATCAGCCGGGCTGTGGCTCGTATGTTGGTTTGCGTGCAGCCAGCAGCAACAGCCTGGTTGATCAGGCTCTGATCCACCAGGAGGCCTGGTCTCAGACCGGGCCGCGGGGGCGTTGACCCCCGGAACTCTCTCCAGGTAAACTCCAGGTAAACATATGCTGCTATGTATGATGATTCTATGTAACTGTATTTGTGGATAAATTAGACACATGTGCAACTCTTGGGTATCTTTATTGAGGAAACGTTTCGCCACACAGTGGCTTCATCAGTCCATACAAAGGAGAATCTTGAAGAACAGGAGGAGAATGAGGTAATCAGTCCCTCAACCTTGAGTCGATGTGGTCAGTCCATCAATCTTGAATAGAATACGGCATACGTGCTGAGAAGGAGCTTATAAACCGTTGGCAGGAGAGGTGCAGCAGTCATAGGTCGTGTAACATTTGTTCAATGTTGAAGTAGGTCGTGCCCAAGAATTAGGCAAGCGAAGAATTCCCAAGTATTAAGATCCCAAGAAGTTGCAGTGTCTGACAGGTTTGTAGATGAATGGTTCAGAGAACCGACATGTTCTATTCAAGATTGATGGACTGACCACATCGACTCAAGGTTGAGGGACTGATTACCTCATTCTCCTCCTGTTCTTCAAGATTCTCCTTTGTATGGACTGATGAAGCCACTGTGTGGCGAAACGTTTCCTCAATAAAGATACCCAAGAGTTGCACATGTGTCTAATTTATCAACATGTCGGTTCTCTGAACCATTCATCTACAAAACTGTATTTGTGTATACCTGAATAAACTTACTTACTTAGCTCCATTTGTGTATACATACTGGTTTCTATTGCTAAGATTTTAGGTAATAATAATATCTTTATTTACTACAAGTACATGTACAAGGTATACAGACCATAGCTGACATCAATGACATGTTACTATATAGAAAGCTGCTTGTTATGCATAGTATTTCCCGCAAATTAGGTGAGTGTCCCAGGATGCGACCCACACCAATCGACTAACTCCTAGGTGCCTACTGTACTTATGGGTGAACAAAGACAACAGGTGTAAAGAAACCACTCAATGTTTCTACCCTGGCTGGGAATTGAATCCAGACCCTCGCCGTGTGAAGCGAGAGTTTTACCTACCACAGCCCTAATAGAGAGTGTATCCCCTGACACTATTTTTGGTACTTCTGGATACTTGCATGATACACGCAGTTTATTCTCCTGATGACTGCAAGAGTTATCTTGCTGTGTTGGTTCAGTGATGAATGTTATCTTGTTGTTGTTGGGGTTATAAGGGCCACTGACAACGTGAGCCGTATCGAGCCCGACTTCTCGATGGTGGAATGGAAATATAAACACATATGCAGTATAATGTGATCCTTTATTGACAACGTTTCGCCCACATAGTGGGCTTTTTCAGATGTTTGTGACTTGAAAAAGCCCACTAGGTGGGCGAAACGTTGTCAATAAAGGATCACATTATACTGCATATGTTTTTATATTTCCATTGTGTCGGTATTTTATACCATTTATTTCCATCGTGTCAAACATTGCAGTACAAATGGATCCTTCACACAGAGAATACCTGGACCTTCTTCTAAAAGCTTACTCACTTCGCAACAGATACAATTTTCTTCGTGATTGCATCCAAGAAATGTCTTACCAAGATCTACTCCTCAAATTGCCAACATCAAACCTCCTTTCTCCGCTACATCTCGGACCTACCTTGAAGAGTGTGCAGATGACTTAAACAATGCTACAAAGGAGGCTTTTCTCCAAGCCAGAACACGAGGCACAACACTCCGGGGTAACGCAAACAAACTTCTCGATGGTACCAGGAAGATTTGTTGCCCAAGGCTGGGCGATGAAAGTAAGCCGATGTACAGGTGCCCCTCCTGTAGAGTGCCCGGCGGGCAAAATAGAAGAGGACAAGCGTCCCAGTGAGAACGGTGGAAATTTGTCACTGATACTCAGGCGAGAGAAAGACGTACACACCCGACGAAGGCTGACGCAGAAGTCCCTTAAACAGTACGAGAGACACGGAAGTGTTGACAGCGTCTTGTTGTTGTTGGGTTGTTGGGCCACTGACACCTTACACCGTATTGAACCCTGCCTCCCGGGTTAAATTAAGAGAACATTTCGTTATCCTGGGTTAGCCACCCAGGATAACTCAAGAACGTCAGTGCGTCATCAAGGGCTGTCTGTCTTATTTCCATTGAGGACCTCAAATCTTGTCACACCAGGATGCGACCCACACCAGTCCACTAACACCCAGGTACCCATTTTAAACTGATGGATGAACAGGGACAGGGACAGCAGGTGTCTTATGGAAACACGTCCCTAATTTGACCGATATGCTCAGCATAACAAGCGGCTTTCTATATAGCAGTACGTCATTAATGTCAACTAGGCCTGTATGCTATGTACATGTACTTGTAGTAAATAAAGATATTATTATTATAATGTGTTTCGTCCGTACCGGAGGAGATTCGAACTCCGGACCTCAGACTGTGAGCTGAGTGCGCTAACGATCCAGCTACGGGACATTGGCGTGTTATTTTACACCGGTTGTATATGTTCACCCATCAGTAAAATAGGTACCTGGGTAGTAGTGGACTGGTGTGGGTCACATCCTGGGACAAAACTGACCTAATTTGCGGGAAATGCTCTGTATAACAAGCGGCCTTTTTATATAGCAGTATGTCATTGAAGTCAGCTAGGACTGTATACCTTGTCATAGAAGTTATTTTTGCGAATTAGTTCACCTAGCTTAACTGGACATTAGTAGTCAGTTTTTATATTGGATTCTTGGTTATCTCACTAAGAAAATCTCTGCTGCATTGTTTCAGGATTACAAAAGTTAAATTGGCACTAAGCAAGTTGATGTATCAAATCCTACGGATGGGGTTTGAACCCATGGCAAGTGAGACCTAAAACTTACAGGTCAGTGATTCTAGGATTCACTTGCCACGGATTCAAACCCCCACCAGTTCCATGATTTAACTAAACTTCTATTTCAGGCCTGGTAGTGTGTGGTGGTCTTGTTCTCCTGAGCACCAGTGACAAATTGTCCCTGCATTACCTTTGTAACTTGTCATGATTGTGACCAGCTGTACCTGGAGCTCATTACCTTTGTAACTTAGTCATGATTGTGACCAGATCTAGTTCATTACCTTTGTAACTTGTTCATCTATCAAAACTTTGGAGTCCAGTCCCTGGACCAATTATGTACCTCTGTAATCTTTTGACTGCCGCCCACAAGATGGGTATGAGGTACATAATAAAGATCTTAAACTAACTAGAACCTCACTGGAACACCTGTCCTCATCTCATTTTGCCCGCTGGGTACTGCAAAGTAGGGGCACCATTTTCCTGTTGTGCAGATATTGACTGGTGTAGAAGTCCCGCTCTGCTGAGATTGAGACAAGGGATCCACCTGACCTAGTTCACAACTTTTTTGTTCCAGTTTATATTTGCAAATATATTTCTCCCTATACATGAGGAAGTTTGGCTGGATACAGCTTAAGCTTGCCCAAAATGCTCTACATAACCACGGGCTTTAAACATGTATCCAAGTGTTACCCATTTCTGTATAAATAATGTATAATGTTGAAATAAACTTGTATTGTGTCTCGTAGCTCTGTTGTTAGCACACTCACCTCACACGTGGTTCGATCCCCAGTACGGGTGCAAACATTAGGACGTGTTTCAGTAAGACACCTGCTGTCCATGTTCACCTATCAGTAAAATAATTACCTGGGTATTAGTTGACTGGTGTGGGTCGCATCCTGGAGGCAAAACTGACCTAATTTCCAGGAAATGCTGTGCATAACAAGCGGCTTTCTATATATAGTGGACCCCCGACATTCGATGGCATCGACATTCGATGCATTTTAACGCAAAAATTTCGCCTCGACATTCGATGGAAAACCCGCTATTCGATACGATTGGTAGGAGAGGTGTCCACGTGTGACGTGAAGTGCCCCGTGTGTGCCAGTGTGGCGTGAAGTGCCCCGTGTGTGCCAGTGTGGCGTGAAGTGCCCCGTGTGTGCCAGTGTGGCGTGAAGTGCCCCGTGTGTGCCAGTGTGGCGTGAAGTGCCCCGTGTGTGCCAGTGTGGCGTGAAGTGCCCCACGTGTGCCAGTGTGGCGTGAAGTGCCCCGTGTGTGCCAGTGTGGCGTGAAGTGCCCCGTGTGTGCCAGTGTGGCGTGAAGTGCCCCGTGTGTGCCAGTGTAGCGTGAAGTGCCCCGTGTGTGCCAGTGTGGCGTGAAGTGCCCCGTGTGTCCACGTGTGGCGTGAAGTGCCCCGTGTGTGCCAGTGTGGCGTGAAGTGCCCCGTGTGTGCCAGTGTGGCGTGAAGTGCCCCGTGTGTGCCAGTGTGGCGTGAAGTGCCCACGTGTGCCAGTTTTTCACAAGCCAGCCTGTGTGCCCGCATCTGGGGATACATTCGGTACATTCCATATTATCACTGTTTTTGGTGCTTATTTCTGCAAAATAAGTAACCATGGGCCCCAAGAAAATTTCTAGTACTAACCCTTCGAGAAAAAAGGTGCTAATGACTATTGAAATGAAGAAAGAGATAATTGCGAAGTATGAAAGAGGAGTGCGTGTGTCGGAAAACTGGTCAGGTTGTATAATAAACCCCAACCAACCATCTCTACCATAGTGAGCAGGAAAACGGCAATCAAGGAAGCTGTTGTTGCAAAAGGTGCAACTGTGATTACAAAATAGCGACCGCAAGTGTTAGAAGATGTCGAGAGACTGTTATTGGTGTGGATAAATGAAAAACAGATAGCAAGAGATAGCATCTCTCAAGAGATCATTTGTGAAAAGGCTAGGCAGTTGCATGATGATTTGGTAAAGAAATTGCCTGCAACTAGTGGTGATGTGAGTGAATTTAAGGCCAGCAAAGGTTGGTTTGAAAGATTTAAGAATCGTAGTGGCATACATAGTGTGATTAAGCATGGTGAGGCTGCCAGTTCAGACCATAAACAGGCTGAAAAGTATGTGCATGAATTCAAGGGGAGAGAGAAATTGAAGAAGTTGCCTACTTCAAAGATTAAGGAAATGTGTGCAGAGTGGTTTGTAGTGCAAACCTTTTTTGATGAAAATCACCCTGACACAGCTACTGCAAGCCGTGCTAGCAACATGTACAATGAAACTGTTTTGAACCATTTTAGGAAAGTCATAAAGGAACGAGAGGTACAGACCTCTATGGACAGATATGTTGTGCGACAGATGTTCAGTGACTCTCAAACTGGTCCTAGTGGCATTAAAAGAAGAAGGGAAGTAACCCTGGAAAAGGACTTGCTACCTCAAGTCCTAATGGAAGGGGATTCCTCTTCTAAACACTAACACCATCAACACTCTCCCTCCTCCCATCCCATCAATCATCCCCAGATCTTCATTAAAGGTAAGTGTCAATTATTCTGTTTTTTTTAATCTATTGTTATTGAAATTTATTTTTTGTTTAAAACTTAAATTTCTGTGGTTTTTTTTTTTTTTCATACTTTTGGGTGTCTTGCATGGATTAATTTGATTTTTTTTCTTATAGGGAAAATTTTAATGAACTTTCGATTGTTAGCATTCATGATGTAGCTAGGCCGTTTCCTTGTACATGTGCTTGTAGAAATAAAGATATTTTATTTTAAATGTTATTCTGTAAGCTATCATCTTTCAGTGACTTTTAACATGAAAAACAAGGGGAAGAAACAGTGTTAGTAAGTATACAGACTTACCGACAGTAAGACACCTGCCTGCCCTATTTAGTCCTGGCTATACCTAATTAACTTGGGAATTTAAATTCCATCTCTTTTCCTGAGGAAATTTTGTTGCCTCTCTCTTTCCACCTCTTATTGTGCCATCTCTTGTCCTCGCTCCCAGGGTTGGCTCAGTCAAGTGTAAACTGTGGTGGCTTGAATACCTCTTTAACAACCAAAAGGGTATTTTTGTCTTTATTTGGGCCTCATACATAACTAAATATTGTTTTTTTTATTCAGGGCCTATACATAACTAAAATTTTTGTTTCTTTTTTTCCCTCATACATAACTAAAATATTGTTGTCTTTATTCAGGCCTCATACATAACTAAAATTTTAGGCTCGTGTAAAATTAAAAACTTACAATGGTTTTTTTTATAGTAAATTATTAGAAATGAACCCAGGAAATAAAAGTTGACAATTTCGTGGAGACTTGAAAAAAGTAGCCTTAAGAGAAGACACTGAAGAAATTGTATATATGGGAAGAAGAGTATTTTAATTTACTATTTTTTAAAGGGCTTCTATAATCCTCCCCCCTCATCCCTAAAGGAAGGTTCCTTGATGCTGTGAGGGCTCTTGATCTAGGAAAATTGGATCTGTGCTCCAGTTCCCGATTGAACGAATCCCTTCCCATCCCCCACATGCGCTGTATAACCCTACGGTTTAGAGCTTCCGTGATTTAATAATGTTAATTCTCCCCCCCCCAGCCCTTTTGGGGAAAAGCTGTCCTTTGTAAAATATCAGCTGTTTTTAAGGAGGTACCCCAAAGGGAAATTGAGCTTTCCCTTGTTTCTTGGATTTTTTTTTATATTTTTATTTAAAAGGACCTTACAAGATTAAATAAATAAAAAAAAACAAAATAATTAACATTTGCAAATACAATGACCTACCATCAACCCCAATAGCATGCCCTAAGTGTTACATTCATATTGTATTAAAGGAATACCTTCACCAAACAATGATAAAAAACAGGAAAACACCTGCTCAGAAAAAACATTAACAAAGTCTAAACTCAAACTTTCCTGTTTTTACAGACAGAAAGGGACCCCCTTGCACAAAGTCACAGATATTGTGACATACAAAGGAATAAATTTACTTTAAACAATAATTAAACAAAGGCTAAAACTACCCTACAATAAAATGCAAAGACAACACAAAATACTTCCGCAAATAGCAGGAAACTCTTAACAGAATAAAGAGCGAGAGGGGCTCCAGCACAAACAAAAATTATAG